CAGTGCTCAAAATAAGCTCCAATAGGAAAATGAACTTATAGAATGGCTGGCTAACATCAACCATGGCCAGTAAAAAATTCATATTTAAATATTAGACATCATCCTTATCAGTGTTATCCTAATAATTTGATGTCAACTTAATGATTTCTCATTCTCCATAAACTCTTATAGATTATTAAAAATATTTTGCACAAATCTTTTGGTTGAACTTCTATTAATGTTATCTTTGGTCTATCTTTTTTATCCTTCCTAGTCCTTTGACATTAAATTCATCTATGGTCTAGTTGGTGGATATTATACCCTTCCTTGGTATGTGGCCAAATCCCTTATGCCTATTTTTTTATTAATTATCATAAATATTACTATCCCTCTAATGCAAACATTTTTTAATTAATCACATAATTTTAACAAACATCGTTCTTAATATTTTCAATTCTACCAAGCTCAATTTGGCTAGTTGTGGCTTATTTACCACACATCATTAAGACTCATAATCATAATCAACCTAGCTTTATTATAATACCTACAACTCTCCATGAGTCGTTTATCTTATAGTAATCATGAGAAACTTTTTCATTTTGAAACTACCTAGACTTTGACACTAGAAGCTACGTTCTTATCAATATATCAATATCTCCATTCATATATACACTAAACTCAAAATATTTAAACCTATCACACCTAAGTATCACTTTATCGTATTGTAATATTTGGCCAACAATTATTAGCTTCACAATCATTAAAGTTGTATATAATATACTCATTTCTTGTTCTATCAATCATTTGTTCGTGTTATCTTTCAAACCTTCTTCCCATTATTATAATTTTTTACTTATTTTAATTTGTCTCAATGATTAAAAATACATGAAATGCATAAAACAAGCACTAAAGTAGCTCATTTTGAATATTCTTTATAAGCTTTTCCATAATGATAATTAAGGAATAAGGATATTAAGTTAATATTAAACCATGATACAATCTATAATAAAAAACTCTTTGGTTACACCACAATTGTTTAACTACTAATCAATGTTCAACATACTACTTTATTCTTTATAAGCCTTTCCATAATTATAGTTAAGGATATTAAGTTAATATTAATCCATGATGCAATCCAACTATAATCAAAAACTCTTTGGTCACTCCACAATTGTTTAAACCACTAATCCATATTCAATAGATGACTTTATCAACTTCAACATACATTTGACATGCATATTTTTTTACAATACAACAAATCAATTCTCATGGTACCTGCATGATTGTTAAAGGCAAGCTAGGTACTTGCTTAGATGCTCAAGCAAAGTGAGGTGAGCTGTAGGGCTTGGTACACCTCAAATCGTAATGAGGCAACATCATAAAGGCACTAGCTATGCGAGGGCTTCGCCTAAAGGAAACAAGTTGGGCAAATGTCTTTCCTTAATTACAAGTATGAGGGCTAATACTTCAAATGTGAAAGATAATAGTTTCTTACAATGAAAATGATGCAAAAGAAAATGATGTGGAAGGAGCATGAAGAGTTGGAGAAAAAATGATGCACATGAAAACAATTTTAGATAAAATATAGTTGCAAGGGTTTCAAATATTAGAGCAATGACCTGAAGAACAAAAGAAAAAGAAGAAAAAGAAATGAGGAGGAAACAAAGAAAGAAATTGAGCATTACTAATCTAATGATGATGAAAAAGCATAGATGATGATGAAGATTGAATAAATAATAAGGTAGAGCAAAATAGCCTTACACTATACATGCTACAAACATATATGGTTTAACTATTTAAGTTATTTAAACATGATTTTGAGTATATCCTTATGATTATCAATTTAACAAGAATTTTTAACTATGGATAAAATAAAATTTGAAAATTTATTATTTTACCAAACATAATTTAATGTATTTATTATTATTTAATACACTAATAACTTCATCAAAAAATATTTTTAATTAAAATAGCAATTTATTTTTTCAATGTCTTACTTCACCAAGGAAAGCACAAGCACCTTGAGCATGGGCAGTCGCATCGCCATCAAGGTGCTTACGGCTTTCAATGATGCTAGGTACTAGATCATATAGCTTCTCACAATCTATTAAACCCTTACAACGATCATTATCTTGTTGTCGATACTCTTGCATTATTTGTCATAGCATAAAAATAACTCATAATAAATCTTTCAAGTACCAAACTAAATTTATTCTTCATTACTAATATAATTCTTCTAAGTCCCTATTCTCATATTCTTTTACATAACTTCGTTATACAACCTATGTTGCACATAAAGTGTCATTTTGGACGCATGCACTTGCTCGATAAGTTTCGTACACACCATTTATGAGTCTGAGTGAGAATAATAATAATAATAATGAACACATTTATTCAACAAGTGTGAATAAAAATTTTAATTTTAAAAGTATATCACACATATAACTTAAGTTGTCTCTTTAATTTTAAAACATGTTACTTAGATAACTTAATAACTACTTTTATTTTTTATTTTGCTTTTTTTACCATGATTTTTATATTATTTATTTTTATTTTCTTACAAAAGAATCAAAATTTTCAACTTCAAACTAGCAAAATATAATATCATGTGACTCAGTGATAGTTTTTTTTTTTCCATTGAGTTTAAGGTCTTTAATAAATTAAAATATATTTTAATGAGCAATTGAAATAAGCTATTATTATATAAATTCATTTCATATTTATTTAATTAGTATAATTATAATATAATTTTTAAAATATAATATTGCAATGATATGTTCAATACATTTTTGTGTCCTCTATTTCAATATTATGAGTGGCACGTGTCTGTGCGCATCGTGTTCATATCTAGATATGCTCATACCTATATCGGTCCATCATAGCGTACAAATCATAAAATTGATCCCCTTATAATCACCATATTCTTGCACATCTCTATTCTTAAATGTCGATATCAAAATTTTTATTCCCCAATTATTTAGCATTCTTTTATACTTCGATATTAATTAAATATATGTTAAGCAAACTACTGAAATCTCACCCATAAATCTACCAAATCTCAACAAATATCTCATATGGCTCAAAGGCTTTAGCTTCATTCATATTATTTAGCTCCAATTTCGTATTTTAAGTCAATCTCTAACATAACTCAATATTTTATTCATCATGCTCTTCTACATGTAGAGGTATTAGATTTGACTTATGTTAAAAAAGGTAGGGGTAGACCTAAAAAGACTTGGTTAGAAAATATTAGGAATGACCTTTCTTTATTAGATTTAAACGAGAATTTGACTTTTAATAGGACACAATGGAGAAAAAGGATTCATGTAGCCGATCCCACGTAGTGGGATAAAGGCTTGATGTTGTTGTTGTTGTTGTTGTTGCTCTCCTACAAAAGACTTCTTTCTAAGAGCTCACATTTAATAAGTTCTCAAAATAACATTTTCATATTTTAATGATTTCTAATATTTAAATAAAACCATTGTTTAAAATTGTGCAATATGAGGCTCGCCTTAGCGCAATTGCAGTAAAAAATGCCCTGAGGCTTACATCTCGAGCTTTTTCTATGAGGCTTAAGCCTCATCTTGGATGAGGCCCGCCTTAAGGAGCGCCTTGTCTCGCTGGCATGAGGCGTACGCCTCACTCTATTTATGAATTTTTTTTATTTAAAACTTACCTAAATCCTATATAAAAGCCCCAAAAAAATCATGACTTCTTGCACCCCCAAGCCATAGCAACTTCCTCTCAATTGCCTCGACCTCCAACCCACTGTCTTTACTGTATCCTCTGCTATCATAGTCGGTGCAAGGGATCAATAGAAAGCTGCATAACACCACCATATCCTTATAAAATTTTGGAGTATTATATTTATGTTAATGATAAACATTTATGAAAGATGATATGACTTAAATAGACGAAGAAGAAGAGATTGAGAGATATTGGACCCTACAGGATGAGACATGAAAGAGACCAATTTGTTATGACAGTGACTCAAATAAAAATCCCCTTAGTAATGATAGTACATATGATTTTTAAGTTGTTGCCAATTATTTTAACTTTCTTTAGTAATTAAACGTAGATGAGAAGTAAAACAATTAGAGTTGAACTTGATGTTATAAGATACTTTTATGCAATTCATATATTTTATATTATTTTGTTCATGTAATATTTGAATTTTAATTATATTTCATATCATTTTTCATTTAACACTTTACATCTTATACAATTTTTTTTTCATATGTATGTAAATTTATTACTTCATAGTTCAATAGAAAGTTAATATGTTATCATTAACATATTATTTGAATATTATATAAAAATTAACTTTTTAACTTTTATTTTTTAATTTACGTAATTTTTAGATTTTGAGGCTTACGCCTCAAAACGCCTTGAGGCTTACACCTCACCTCACGAACGAAAAATGCCTCAATACAAAATTGCGCAATTTTAAACCTTGAATAAAACCTCATTCTTTTTGCTTTTACAATATCAACTTCATAAAAATCCCTATATTTCATATTTTGCCTTAAACATTCTATATCTCTCACTTTCTACTTTCATAATATCTAGCCCATTACTTAAATCATCAAAAGTGTAACTTTATAAATCATATTCCAAGTCCAAAACCCTGGGCAAGGCAAGATAGATTTGCAGAAAATTGGGTAAAAGGAATTCATAAGTTTTATTTCAATCTAAACTCAATTGCCATTATAGGCACATATCAACATCCTTTTTGTTGAGTTTTGATAAATAACAATTTTAGGAAGAGGAGAAAATTTACAAGTACAAATAATATCCAAAGAGTAAATAATCATAGAGTAAAATAGCTGCAAGAAACATCATTTATTTGATTTGAAAGGATAGAACTCACATCAAGAAGTAATTGTTTCAAAATGAAGATTAATTAACTTGAAACACAGATGTGCTTGCACGCATGTATTGATCTCTAATAAAAAATCAGCGCATATCAAGAACATAAATGATGAGAAACAGCAATTCACTAATTTTTGAAAGAACGTTACATGGAAAACCAGCCCAGCTGCAGTCTATGATACAATATTGCAGTATGTCCATCTACCTCCTCTACTAAACTTCCATACTGGAAGCTGCAGTCCCACCTACAATATTAAGGGAGAAAAATAGGATCTAGTTATTAGGAGCAAAGGGGGAAAAGCCCACTGTACATTAAGGAACTTACTCGAATCGGGTTCCATCCATGCACATCACAAGTTCAAAAATTGCTTCACAAGTGGCCTCCACTACACCCACAGCTTTCATTGCTCTACTACAACTTCGAGGCTGCAAAAATACACATATCAGAAGATAAATTCAACCATATTAAGATGCCTATATCATTATATATGATGCACAAACACGGACACGGCGACACGGATACGACACGACACGGACACGGGACACATCAGTTATTGAAAATATAGGACACGGACACGGACACGGGTTGGAGATGGTATTATAGTTTTTTTATATTTAAAAATAGTGTATAAAAATTAAATAAGTATAATTTTAAAAATAATTTGAAAATAATAAGTCATTTAACTAGAATTTGTGCTTAAAATGATTAGTATTAAGATGTCGAGAGTTAGGTGTTGATGCCTGTTTATCAGTCACCGAAAGAGGAGATGAAAATACCTTCACTGCCAATAAGAAATGAAAATGAGAATATTCGATGATTGGGTATTAAGTGTGGACGTTGATTTGGTGTTGTGGATAAAAAATAAGAAATTTAATTTAAATCCCACAAAATACAAGAAATTATATTTAAAAAAATATATAAAATATTAAAGATAAGCATGTCGGACACGCGTGTCCAATTTGCATTTAATATTTTTTATTGGACATGTTTTCGGCCGTGTCGCGACAAGAGTCGGACGAGTGTCGTGTCGGATACGGTGTCGGACACTGCACGCCTCTTTGAGGAGAAGTGTCGGTGCATCATAGATCATTATTATCCCTTAGAAGAAATTTTAAAATTAAAAAAAAAAAAAATCTATCATTATCAGCATATTAAAATAAATGATTTCATCACGTACAAGGTAATCAGCTTCCGAAAGCTCTTCAAAAATTCGAAGACCTGCAGTATTTGTGTAGAAATAATCAGCTAACATATAGTTGTTTAAGTAAGAAACTTGAGCTGATTTAGAAAAAAAAAATTCTTGCCATTCTGGCATCTGACAAGACGCCAATGTTTTCTAGAAAAAACTTGATCTGAAGTACTTTGATTTGATAAAACCGAGTCACCCTCCCGTGTCCAATCAAGCACCGATTCGGGAGGGCCTGAAAGAGGAAAAATAACAATCATGCAGCAGAACATACATCCTCACTGAACAAAAACGTGACCATATCAAATCACAAAAAAGGAAAAAGGAAAATAAAAATAAAACAAATAAAGGTATAAAACTCATCCTTACATACCATTGCCAATTGTTGTCCTGCGCATCAATGAGCGGTTGTTCTCTTCCTCCTCTTCAGCACTTGCCCTGTATGTATAATTTGGGTAGTATTACAATATTTCCTACTTATATGTTTCGAAGTCTGTTCACCTACTATAAAGATCAGTTACTTACAGGCTTTCCCGGTCAGATGAAGAAGCATTCCTATCAGGATTAATGCCAGCTTTGGCCATAAATGAAGCATGTACCATATTTCCATTAGCTGTGTTTAAATCATGCTGCTATAAACAAACGTCAGATTAGTTACTCTATCCAAAAACTGCCATACAAGAAGTATATAACCAGGTGAATTCTCAACTTATTAATGCATAAATGTGATGGGTAGCGTATAACAGGCTAGGCATGGACACTAGACATCTTCTCATCAACAAAGTGCAAAATTTTTCAACGGATTTTTTACTCCTTTTTCTTTTACAAAATATAATAAGCATTTCCCCGTGGTAAGAGAAAACAATCAAATGCATTTTGTACAGTAGTAAGACAACAAAAAAAGATTTCAATTAGCACTCAACAAGAATGAAGAACTCATGAGGCCAACCTCAAATAGTTGGGATAAAACTAATGATTAGGATGAATACGAAAAAAAGAAAAATTTCAAAGATTTGTAACTCATTTCAAATGGAAGATTTTAATAGCTTATGAGCAGCATTGACTTTCTAAAGCTTCGTACATTACAAAAAAGAAAAAGGTCCTTTAATTTATAGCAACCTGATCAATCACAGATTCAATTTTCTCCTTCCAGATCAGAGCTTCCTGGATGTTGAATGCTGCCATCTGACACAAGAATATTGAAAAATAAGCCAGTGACATGAGACTGGTTGCAAGAAATGACAAGCAAATAGCTTCAGAAAAAGCCAGCAAAAGTGCTAGACAACCTAAAATGAAAAACGAAAAATATTTACCCATGAAACAGTTCTATCCAGCAGGTTAAAAAGGAGCAGCACAACATGTCACAATATATATTTATTAATAACTGCATGATCTATATTAGTCAATCAAGGGCAACAATGAAGCTTATCATGCATCATCACCAACACGTAATCCAGGGCCATTTAAGGGGAAAAAACACATTACAAGTCAATCACTTGTGAAGTGACAATTTCTTAGCATTATTCCGCCAGGATAAGCCGGTATTCCCCACTATCCTTTAACTCATATGTCATCCAAATTAATGCGCGTTAAACTACCTAGTCACATCTAAATATCTACCATGGAAGTTCTTGCATATTCAAAAATCATTTCTCACAGTTCTTGGTTAAGAGAAGTCATAGATATCGTAGAACATCAAATTTAATATTGTTGAGGCATATCACTATTGGCATTTTGTCAAAGAGTAAACTTTAAGGCTTCATTCAAATGATATAACAACAGATACTTTTGTTGCATGAAATACACAAGAACTTCCAAAGGAATTCCTAGACATAAAAATAGATGTATTAGAAGGTGAAGAGGCTCAATAATCATGTCAATATGGAGCAAGTTATAACACTTTCAATTAAGTAAGCCTTTATGAAAGATGAGCTAGTATTGACACAAAAAGTTGGGTCAGCAAATAAAATGCAACTGCTATGACTAAATTACACAAAGGTTAAGCTAAACAAAATTTAAAACTACTGATTAACAAAGAAAGCCTTAGGGATGTCAAAATTGGGTCATGGATCGGGTTTGGATCCAACCTGAAACTGTTTGACCCGACCCGTTTGCAAACTGGTCAATTTTTCGGACCCTAACCAGACCCGCTTCATGTGTGTTTTACTAAAAATTTTTTTATTTCATTCGACTTGTTTAAACATAAATCAAATCAAGGTAAGATTTACTTCAATCAATTTAAAATAAACCAAACTTAATTTAGTTTGGGCAACACTTTGACTATCTTTTAGAAATAGTATTTACTTATTTCATAACATTCATTTAAATCACTCCTAAATTAATTAAAAAAGGGTCAAACCGGGTTGATTTTGGGTTCTGGGTTAACCCGAACCCAAAATTTTCGGGTCGGGTCAAATATTGACACCCCTAGAAAGCCTAAAAAATTGCATCACTATTTATGTCATTCACTTTACACAGTATACTTATCACAAAGAATAAGTGCATGTTGGGACAAAGAACCATTTAAAGAAATCAAGAGAACAAGCGCATAACAAGACGTGATGTAGAAAAATTCATGGGTTGCAAAAATTAAGCTTAATAAAGTAGTTCAGCAATGCAAAATGACAAATATAACCTATCAAAAGAAGAAAATTTACAAACAATTATGAAAATTCTTAAAATGATAGATACAAAGTACAAACCATAATTCGATGGTACTTGTCCTTTTTGTTGTACACACACAGTACATAAACCATCTGTCAAGATAAAAACGTAAGCCTGAGTAGTCAAAGTACTTGCGTGATATATAGAACCATCATGTAAATGCAAACATAATGTCATTGATTGAAGAAAAAATAACCGGAGACCTAACCTCCAAATTAAAATTGATTGATATTAGTGAAGCATATGAACTTTGAATACAGAAAGAGTAAAGAAAAATTATTTCAGGGATACATCAAAATTGTATATGGTGCCATGGGCAAATATTGGCTAGTTACTACAACATGAAGAACTAAAGCCAGAAAAACCTAAAGAGTTGCTAAATACCAAAAGATTTTTTACAGAAGAAACACATTACAATCTTGCATACTAGTAAGTGTGCATGCAACAGACATGATTCTCTAGCCATTCATCACGTCAAAATTGAGCAAGATATGTTGTTTTGTTTCTCTTGAGCACAATAGTTTTTTACGAGATTTTTCTAGGAAAAAAATGATAGCTAACTGCATTTGGTGACAGTTCATATTAAAATTAATAGTAATAATGACGATGATAATGATTTTGGCATGAAGTCACTGCTTAAATCCACTTATCAACTCACTACCTTTTAAGGGGCATATTGCAGGATCCTTCAAAATGAGCCCCAATGTTGGTTTAGAAGGTTTCTTTTAAAACATGATAATTTTATAACTAAAAAAAGCTAGTACATGCTAGATTGCAAGTTATTGATTACTAGAGTAACAACTCACCATGTTAGAATTGCTTAAGGTGTTAGCTGAAAAGTGTGAAATTGCAACACTAACAACAAGTAGGATGAAAAAAAATATTATAAAAATAACTGCTACTCGAAAGAAATGGTCAACAAAAGATGCCCAAATCTTACATGTCCATTGTGAATCTTAAGACCTCTATCCTCCACCCTGCAATTCCCATCTATGAAAAGCGTTTTGATAGGAACCTGAATATGTCAAATATTAAATCAAACAAATATCAGAACCCTAATAAACTGTTTTTGAAATTTTTATGAAAATTAATAGAATTCAATTCAACAGTAGTCAAGGCATAATTCTGATTATCAACAATTTCAAATGAGATTGCGGCTCCACCAATCAAGTTCTTCAAGGCTCGAGAAAATCCAGAAAAGCTATGCAATTTAACTTAATAAGAAATAGTCACATACCATGTTACCCTGGGGCTTCCTCTTGTAATAAGCAAGAACCCTAGTCTCGAGTACGAAGTACCGCATGTGGATGAACGAACGGCCGATCTTCCTCCGACCATAGCGCACCATCCATCCTTCATATATTACCTTCGACATTCTTCTTACTACTTGCCCGATCCACAATTTCTTCAAGCAACAGCTTCCACTCTCCACTACCTCACAATCTCGAGTGATCAAGGGTCGGAACAAGGCCCTCTGGAGAAAAGAGGATCGAAGGGAGCGTCAAAAACTGCTACCGAACCCCAATCGTTGCAAGCCACAGCGATCTGATGAGGTGCCAATCATGGAAACCCCGTCGCACGGAGTACAACAACTAACCTGAACGGGCAACGAAAAGGAGAAGACAGACTAAAATTAAGCGCAGCTCCTATTCTCGCTTTCTTCTCCATTTTTCTCTCTCATCGCAGGCGTTGACTGAGTAGGACTGGCGGGAAGAAGAGGGATTCTCCTCGTTTTCTCCGTCAGGCGTCAGCAGAGCAGACCGGGCCGGAGGATGCCGGATCTGCTGCAGCGCGCTTCCAGCAATGGCGTGCTTGATTTGGGACGGACGCGTGGCTCCAAATTACCATCGTGCCATTTTCCGTCTCTTTTCGGGCTGCAAACCCCGGCGTCCGATCACCCGTGGAACGGGGACCAGGGAATCAACGGTTTTGATATGCTCGCATGGCCAAAGTGTCCATTCGGACGAGGGCACGTGAGCAGATCACTTGAACACCTAGGTCTACTAGTGTTAGAATCGAATAAGGGTGAGAAGATTTCGATTTGAATTGAGGGTTAAATATAGAACAAATTTAAAATATTTAAATTTAAAAATAAATGCATGAATTTAGGGCAAAGCATCTTGGAGGAGTCATATGAGAGTTGTGAGAAAGTTGTTAACAAAGATGGCCCGAGAGGGCCGTGTAATGAGAGGCATTCAGTAAATGAGTTAAAAATAATTGTCATAAGGAGTGGGCAGTTTGGTCTCTATGAGATCACGTGCAAGTAGTGGGCATCATTGATGCATAGACATCATCATCATGTATGCAGGGGTGGAACCAGCCTTAGTTAGGGGGGGGTGGGGGTCGGGGTCTACGCTATTCAAATCCTGATCCACTAACAGGCCTAATATTGATATGCTGCAAAAATCGGGTGAATATATAATAGATATATGATAGTCCTCCATAGTGAAAATATATATGGAATGTTAAACTTGAATGCATTTGATAACGTTTCATTGCTTCTAAGTTGTGATGCATAAAATTAGGCCACCATTTTGCTCTACAATTGCACTCTTTATGATCCTGAAGTCATAAAAGATATATATATGTAATACAAGCACTTTTATTCACATGTTTCATGAACAGTCAAAGTTTTGATCTGTAATTTTTTTTTACTAAAGATAAAAGATTAGTATATTTTCAAACCAAGTCAAGCCAAAGCCAGCAATTATATACAAGGAACAAATCTAAGATGGAGCTAAAAGCAGTTTTACTTAACATGTTTACTTGGATTTGAACTATGATTGATCGATGATACCTTCCAAGACAACAAGTTGGTCCAAAAGCCCAAGCTTATCATTTTCTAGAGCCTTGATATCAGCTTCAACCATACTCAACGCTCTATCCAATGAGAGGCTTTCTTCCTTTAATACATGATATTTATGTCTTAGTCTTCAGTAGTCGCCGCCCAAGGATGAGGATTCAGCCTTTGGATGAGGGACTTCTTCCTTAGCAAGAGATGCAGTAGACTGCCTTGAAACTTTCTTCTTGGTAGAATTTGGACGAGGGACTTCATCATGAGGCATTATTTGAAGCTTTTGCATTTCTTCAACAGATGACAGTCCCTCTTCACAGCGAGCGAGCTCCCGCAGTTGCTTTCGATCAAAAGGTTGTAAGGTTTGATCTGACGAGAAGGAAAGTCATCAAAGGAGTGAAGTCGAACAACAACGAAGGAGTCGAAGAAGCAACTCGTGTAATCTCTATATATCCTACTCCTGCAAAATAACGAAGTTGAACAATAACAACGAAAAAGAGGACTGCGTAGTGGCTCTTTCACGTGTATGCTATAGATTAGGTCAAAAGGGTGCAAAAGATGAGATTTAGGGGGGCAAATTACTTAGTTAACCCAACTATAAAACTTTTATTTTTAAGGGAGGGCAATTGCCCGCCCTGGGTTGAATGTGGTTCTGCCTCTGCATTTATGATGTGGTGCAAGTGATGGGAGGACTTGAATGCATTTTCACAAGCATGAAGCTTGTGAATGCTTCCTAGCATGTTTTGTTGGTTTTATTATGTCATAATTAATTCAATTGACCAACGTTGAAGTAATAAACTTGGTTAAAATTTAGCCTGGTTTGGCCATCTTGATCTCATTTTTGAATGAGATCAGTTCTCTCTCTCTCTCTCTCTCTCTCTCTCTCTCTCTCTCTATAAACCTCTCAAGACACTTCTTCGTTGTGACACTCTAGATTTAGCATCTGGATTGACTTGTTCTGAGCCGATTGAAAAAAGTCACAATAAGAGGATTTGGGGAGGAAAAAGAGAATTTCTTAGTCTCTTCGGGTCATTTTCAACTGTCAACCCAGTTCAAAAAATTATTCGCATTGAGGTAAGTCAGATTACGCTTACTTAATTTTCAAAAATACATAGTTTTTATCTAGTTTTTTTTATGAAATTTTAGTTGTCGTTAGAAAAAAAAATACATATAACTTTGTATTAGTAAAACTTTCACCACATATTTTTTATATGTTATAAAGTAAAAGGATTTTTTAGCCGCTTCATGTTTTCAACCATCAGCCCAATTCAGAAAGTTGTTTTGTATTGAGGTAGATCACATTATGCCTATTTTCATGTTCAAAAATATAAAGTTTTCATCTAATATTCTATTCAAATATGAAGTAAGACTATCAGGAAGAAGAGGGATTCTTGTCATTTTCTCCGTTAAGCGTCAGCAGAGTGGACCAGACTCGAGGATGTCGGATATGCAGTAGTGCGCTTCTAATAATGACATGCTTAATGTGGTCCTCATGAGCTAAGATTGACGCACGCTAAAATTTACCATCGTACCATTTTCCATCTCTTTTTGGGCTGCAAACCCTAGTATCCGATCACTCGTGGAGCAGGGCCTAGGGAATCAATGATTTTGATATACTTGCATGGAGAAAGTGTCGATTCAAATGAGGGCACATGAGCATATTACTTGGACAACTAGGTCTACTGGTGTTAGAATCGAATGAAGGGTGGGAAGATTTTGATTTGAATTAATGGTTAAATATTTGAACAATTTTAAAATATTTAAATTTAAAAATAAATACATGAATTTAGGGCATGACATCCAGGAGGAGTCATATGAGAGTTATGAGAAAAAGGTTAATGAAGATGGATCGAGAGGGCCATATAATGAGAGGCAATCGCAGTAAACGAGCCAAAAATAATTGTCATAAGAAGGGGCCATTTTGGTCTCTATTAGGTCACATGCAAGTAGTGGGCATCATTCATGCATAGATGTTATCATGTATGACATAGTGCATGCAATGGGTGAAAGTTCGTGAGGGTTGTTAAACCTTTATAGAAATAGTCTCGAGGTTAACTAAGAGAGGGTGAATTGGTTATTTTAAAATTTTCTTTAAACACAAAGAAAAATCTCCTTTTTAAAGCTTTTTGAACATTTGAAAATAGATAATTTTATCGCTTGATGTGAAAGCAAACTAATTTCACAATAATAAAAAATTAGAGATTTTCAACCATACAATTAACACACAAAAAAAATAAAACTAAGAACAAACACACCCAAGATTTTTAGTGGCTCAGACAATCTGACATACGTTAACTCCCCATAACCTCATGTTTCATGTATTGCACTAAACTCTTTAGTGACTCTCGTTCAGCCCCGGCAGCTAGGTGGAGAAGCTCTTACAAAATTATTCCACCAATACGGTGCGGTAGAGGACCGTATGCCTTTCACAGGCATATAACCTTGACTCATTTTCACCCTCCTGGTAAGGTAGAGAACCTTAACTCTTTTCCACCCTATTTGTGAGGCAGAGAACCTAGAATCATTTTCACCTTTCTTGATGCGGTGGAGTAGCCGGGTTCTTTGACACCTAGGAGATCTTCTTCTTCTCAAAACTTTCAATAAGACAAACCTTAAATATGATGGTACTAAGGTGTAAGCTTACTGGAGCAACCTTGTGAAACCCCTCCACACTTCCTTAAAACCCATGTGAATCTTCTCCCTCTCAAACTCCACCATTTCTTCTCTCTCTTTCAAGGCTCTCTCTTCAAATTTTCTCTAGAAGAATAAAGACTCAATGCATGCCAAAAACACTTACAATGTCTTTGGAGAAAGCTTAAATATAGGACTTTAAAAAACCCTAGAAACTCAATTCTGTTGTCAAAGAGTGTACAGTATGATCGTAAGATCGTCTAGTACAATATGCAAAATTTGACCTGATAGTGTTGTACGATCACCAAATAGTCTAGTACTATCAGTTCAAATTTATACTTATCATCCAATATGAAATTGAGGACATCCAGGATAATTAGATGAATAATTATTGTATTTTATCTTATACGATTGGGGGTAATTCCATGCATCCCCTCGGTCACCTAGTACGATTATTATTGATCGACCTTAATAATCAGATTAAATAAATTAACCATAATTAGTCTCCTAATCATAGGATCAATTTAGACATGATTGTCATATATCGTCTAATATAATGTAGTTCATCTTAGATGATTAGAACAAAATTTGAATTTTAAAATCTTGCCTAAATTATGATTGATAGCTATTTTTTATGATCATAAATGATCTTCTTAGACAATCTAAATCATCAAGTATGATTTTTTAGATGAGTTGATCGTACAGTATGATGAATTCAAAATTTGAACTTTTAGTTTTGACTCAATCACACTCCCTCTAAGTGTATGTGTGTGTGGTTACCAATCTAGTATACACCTTTATAATACTTGACTCAAGAAATCAAAAATACATCTATAAATAGGGGTGTCAATTTCGGGTCCTGAGTTGGGTCGAACTCGAAACTGACCCGACACTATTCGGGTCAACCCGAACCCGACCCCTTTTTGCAAACGGGTCAATTTTTCAGACCCAAACCCAACCTGCTTCGAGTCTAGGTCAACCCAACCTAACCCAAATGACCCGATTCCAACAAAAAAACTAATATAATAGGTTTTTTGTCCAAAAATAGGTTAATCTCCACTTTTTGAACAAAAAATGGGTCAATCTGGGGTTGTCGAGTCAAAAATGGGTTTTTGGGTAAAAGAGTGGGTCAATTTTGGGTCAAAGGGTCAACCCAAAACTGACCCAATTTTTTAAATGGGTTGAATTATTGAACCCGAACCCGACCCATTTCGGGTTCGGGTCAACCCAAACCCCAAAATTTTTTGGGTTGGGTCCAATATTGACACCCCTATATATGAACATTATAAAAATCTTTAAAACATAACCTATTCTGCTAAATCTTGAGCCTTGAATCTTTGTTGGATGGTGCATGGTTCTCCTAAAATATTAATACACACATAAATAAATATATATTACAAATATAAGTAGAC